TCCTTTTCTAGTATCACGGGAAGATAGAAGTTGTAATGGAATTAGAAGAGAACCTGGTTGTCCTCCCGTCTTTCTATTCCACACTTGCCAATCAATTCTGTGATTGCAGTCATGGTTCTTAAGTTTATGTCCCTGCTCTAATTGATTTTTTGGTGGACACACTCTAAGTTGAAAGATTAAAAATCTCAGTATTTCACATTAAACACTAGAACACTTCACTCACAGCATCTGAGCTCAAAAGCCTCCAATTAGGCAAGGTGAAGACCATGGCAAACAAGAAGCGGATGGGGCTTGGGGATTGGGTAACTCTATTGTAATTGTAAAGAGCCATTTATAAATATCCATGATTTTAATTGGGGGGGGTAAGTTTTTATTGGAAATAGATAAATAATAATTATAATCACTGGAAAACGCTTGTAAACATATAGATGGTATTCAGATTCAGAGAGAGTACAAATGAATAGTAGCTTTTTCTTAATACATGCATGCTCAAAAGGTAATGTTCCAATTTTGGAAAAACTGCTGATAGATTTTTCACTTTCTAAAGATGCCAGTTAAATGAAGTGTTACTATACCTACTTTTTTTTTTTTTTTCAAGAAAGGAGTATACCTGTAACCTTCCGCCGAAGGCTTAACTTCTGAATCTAGAAAAATTCTTAGAAAAATAATCATAAAAATACATTTGCAAACTTCTAAATTTTAGTTTAATCATACTCTATTATAGTTACAGATCTCATAGATAAAGAGAAGCAATACATTCCAGGCTTAGAAATAATATTAAAAATTACTCAAAATTGTATTACTAATCACAACTTTAATCACTACTTCTAATTCCTCACAATTTTCTTGAGTGTCTTCTTTGTCTATTTACTTGAAATACTATTTTAAAAATAAAATTTATATTTAATATCAAATTATTGATAAGAACAAAATTTCTCATTAGGCACATGGGAAAACTCATTCCCTCTATGCAACTCTGTTATTACTATTATTTTTAATTTTATTAAATGTATTAGGATGACATTGGTTGATAAAATTATACTGGTTTCAAGTGTACAGTTCTGTAATACATCATCTGTATATTGCATTGTGTGTTCACCACCCAAAGTCAGGTCTCCTTCTGTCACCATATATTTGACCCCCTTTACCCTCTTCTCCTTCACCCCCACCCCCCTTTCCCTCTGGTAACTGCCATACTGTTGTCTGTGTCTGAGTTTTTCATTGTTTGTCTTGTCTCTCTATTTGTTGCTTTCAGTTTTACATCCCACATGTGAGTGAAACCATATGGTTCTTGACTTTTTCTGTCTGACTTATTCCACTTAGCAAATCTCAAGATCCATCCACATTGTCGCGAGTGGTGATATTTCATCTTTTCTTACGTCTGAGTAGTATTCCATGGTGTATATGTACCACATCTTCTTTATCCAATCATCTGTCGAAGGACACTTTGCTTGTTTCTATGTCTTGGCCACCACGAATGATGCTGCAGTGAACAAAGGGGTACATGTATCTATAATGAATAAATATTTTCAAATTTTTCTGATACCCAGAAATCTATTCTTAATTTTTTGAGGACCCTCTGTAATGTTTTTCATAGTGGTTGTACCAGTTTACATTCCCACCAGCAGTCCAAGGGTTCCTTTTAATCTGCAACCTCTTCAGCACTTGTTTTTTCTATCACAAAGAACGATGTAAGCATAATGGGTGTACCAGAAGGAGAAGATGGGGGAAGGAACAGAGAGCCTATTCAAAGAGTCTACAAGAACTTCTCAAAGCTATGGAAAAAACTGGATCCTCAAATCCAAGAAGCAAAGAGGACACCTAGTTATCTCAACTCAAAAAAGACCTTCTCCAAGGCACGCTATATTAAAACTGTCAAAAATTAATGACAAAGAAAGAATTCTCAAAGCAACCAGGGAAAAGAAGATAGCAACCTATAAAGGAAATCAGATTATCATCAGATTATCATCAGATTTTTCAGCAGAAACCCAACAAGCTAGGAGAGAGTAGAACCAAATATTCAAACTATTGACAGAGAAGAATCACCAGCCAAGAATAATATATCCAGTAAAGTTATCCTTTAGATATAAAAGAGAAATAAAGACCTTTCCAGCCATACAGAAGCTGAGAGACTTCACCACCACAAGACCTACATTACAGGAAATGCTGAAAGGGGTTATTCTACCTGAAACAAAAAGACAAAAGGGTACAAAACTATGAGTCAGGGGACTCATAGACAGAAACAGGAAGCTGCAACCTTTTATTCAGTATAGGGTATTATATACTTAAATATAACCTGTAGGTCAAAGATGGTAAAACATTTTTTTTTTTAAATAGAGAAGAAAACAATAGCTACTGCAATTTGGGAATGTTTTTACTCTTAATGGTTAATACTGCCTTACTACTGTGTCTTTAGAACCAACATTGGCAGAGATGTTAGATCAAGTCTGAATTGAATTAGAATATCAGTATCACTGTGGTCACACAAAAGAAATCCAGGAACAGTCAGGAGAATTTTCTGCTCATAGAGAACATCTACGAAGCATGTTATTTTCATGACTGCAGTGTGTGTGTGTGTGTGTGTGTGTGTGTGTGTGTGTGTGTGTGTGTGTATTTTAGACATGTGGTTCTTGATTCTGTTTGATAAAATGCATTTAGCACTTGGGGAAAAAATCAGGACATGGCTACAGAGTTTATGCACAGAAACCAGCAGTGTTATCAGTAGCTTAATGTTAAAGGGATAAAATAATGTTTCCACTGTATCAATTCTGAGCAAATGTTTAATATTTTCATCAATACTTGATTTGGTAGAATAAAAAATACATACTTCTTAGTATGACCAGTTTGGAGATAAAAGAAAACTAAGTCCTTAAGGAAAATAATTATTAATAAAATGGAGACATGATCAAAAATAATAAAGTAAAAAAATATTAGTGCAGAATACATGTGGAAGAGAAATAATCTCTCAAGAGAGACCAACTCGTTCTGTGCACAAGTAGAAGAAAAAGAGGATCTACAAGTCAACCTGAGTGTACTAGTGATTTTGCACTTTGGTAACTATAAACTGAGTCTCCTATTCATCATTGTTTATGCTCTCATTGGATTATTACATTTGGTGTTATATTCCACACTTTAGAAAATATGTGTGACTTTTTTAAGTTTGGGTAAAAGAAAAAAGGTAGTCAAGATGTTAAAGAATAAGCCAACAAGGAAAGATTAACATATTCATTCTTTCATTTCGTGAGCATTTATTGAGCACACTATGCAAGACACTGTGATGGGCCCTGGATGAAAGACATAGCCTACAAGAAGTTCACGGTCTTAGGAGAAGAGACAGAAAAGTGTATGCAGTGTGTGCAATGCCACAGTGGTAGAAAAGAGGGACACCTAACCACACCCGAGGAATTGGGGAGGTTTCCTGAAGAAGAACTGAGTCTTAAAGATTGTAAAATAAAGTTTAAAAAAAAAACCCAAAAACCCAAAACTGTAAAAAGAAAGTGGTAAGTTTAAACCAACACTGGGCTGCTCTGAAAGGATTTGCCAGCCTCCACACCCATGGGGTAGAGATCTCAAAGAACACCAACCACCATCAGGAAAAAAGTAGACTAAAAAATATCTGCCCACTGACACAGAGTTGATGTGGAGGATTTGTCTTGGCCTGTGCTCCAAGCCAGTGGTGGGAGGTGGGATGGGAGAGAGGTTTGCTCTTTCTAAATTAACACTACTTAAGTGTTCAAAAATCCCCACACTAAGAAATCAACACAGGGATCTCAGACTGATAATATCTCTGCTGTGCCTGGCACAAGCAGAAGCAAAATCATTCCGGAGGGAGAGATCCTCAATCCAAGGAACATAGCACAGAGTTTTTCACAAATAAAACCCCAATTAAAATGAATTTACAGTCCAAAGTTATAGAGAACACAGGAAGCTATCAGCAATAAGCAAATCTCATTATGACATGCAGCATCACCCTGCCTCATCTCCCTGAACTCAAAGAAATATAGGGACTATGAAATAAGTCTACTTAAAATGCTTAAATATATCAAAGACAAATTTTAAAACATGAGAAAAGAACAAGACACTATCCTTAAAAGATTGGAGGATAATTTTTCCAGCAGAGTGAAGAGCATTTACAGGTGTGGGAGTGCAGATAGGTGTTCTGATTGGGAGTTGGCAGTCACAAAATTAGGAGAAGGAATTGGGAGGAAGATGACCAAGCCTCGGGTCATAAATTGCCTCACATTCTGTATTAGTTAGCATCTGGTTTGCAGGTGACAGAAAGATCGCATTTGTCTAGGGAGAATTTTGTTGTTGGCTCACCCACCTGAGAAAGACAGGGACCAGACTCTCATTCCCTCTCCATCTCTCACTGCTACTTTTTTCTTTGTGAATATTTCATTCTCTCCTACTGCAAACTGGCTTTCTCCAAGAAATGGAGAATATTGCCACCTGGGGTTTTGGCTCAGAGCTTTTACTTTGCTGGTTTTTGTTTTTATTTTTGCTTTCGTTTTTGTTTTGACATTTGTATAATTTACAAAGTGACCCCCCTGTAGTTTTTGCGGTATTATTGCCTATATTCCCTATGCTATGCTTTGTAAATTGTGGTAAAATATACATATGAAATTAACCATTTTAACCATGTTTAAGTGTGCAAGTCAGGAGCATTGAGCATATTCGTGTTGTTGTACAACCATTACCAGTTTTCATCTCCAGAACTTTTTCACGCTCCCAAACTGAAATTTTATACCCATTAAACAACAGTTCTTCATTCTTCCCTTCTGCCAGCCCCTGTTCACCACTGTCCTAGTCAGCATTCTCCTTTTTTCCAAGATAAAGCTTAGTCAAAAGTTACTGTGAGGCTCAAAGAACTGACTCCTTCATTTCCTGTATTACATATACCTATGGACTTTGTAATATCAGATCTGTTTGCTAGAGCTTATGTACTTCCATACTTTTGCAATAACCTTGACTTCTAAATGTATTATTTGTTTCTTTTATAGGACAATGAAGGTCAAACAGCTCTGCATTATGGTAAGATAGCTCTAAATTTTTAATTATTTGAAACTTTGTTTATCTCAACTTTTTCCAATCCTATATATCCTATATAGTGCTTAGAAAAATGCCTGGCCACTAGCAGAGATACAGTGACTTTTTATTAAATAAATGGATTAATAGCCTCTGCAGTTGGAGATATATTAAAATTCTTATGGGCGCATCTATAGTAAATCAAGCATTTCTACACTATCAACAAAAATGGAGATTCCTTCAGCCCCCGTTTGAAAATTTATTATTTCATTCTTGTTACTGTCAGTGACAGTTAAGATGCTAATTATTGTCACTGTAGGAGCCAGAATCTCTCCTACAAGCAATACTTCCTTGATGTAACTAAAGTGAAGAAAATAGATTTCATCATTTTAACTCATTTCCCCCACTAATTGCTTAGCCTACTTAAGTAATCTTCACTTAAATCATCTATAAAACAGAGGATAATCTGTAAGATAGAAATAACATGACTCAAAGAGCTACTGGGTAACTTCAGTGAGATAAAGGATATTGAAATCTTTTGTAAACTTTACTTGTAAAAGTATTCTTACTTTTACTCTTTTTGAGTGTGAATATGGTTGAATAAGCGACAGCCATCAATATTTAAACCAGATTAAGGATCGACCTTTTGGGAGGGAGTACATTGGGCTGCTTTGCCATTTGGGCATCCGAGACTCCATTCAGTAGTAAGAGGCCCAGGTGCCCCTCGGCACTTTTGTCTACTTTTTAGCTTTTGCTTGGATGTCAAGAACCTCACAGGTTGTCTTGGAGTCTCAAGTTGTTGGGCTAGCTGTACGGTAACTACATTTGTCAGCCTGATAATGAAGATCGGCATGTCACTAAGTGCATGCCCCAACTCACTGGTGGGTTTAGCTAATATAACCTGGGCACCAACAGCAACAAGAATAAGGAAAATTGTGAGTCGGTCTCACTTTTGAACATATATGCAAAAATCCTAAATAAAATATTAGCAAATGAAGTCTATTAATGTATTTGAAAAAGAAAGTTATGGTATGATCATAAATTCCTGAATTTATCTCAGGAACTCAAAGATGATTTAACATTTTTATAATTTATTAATGTAATATGCCTTATTAGCAAATTAGGTGAAAAAACCATATAGTCAAATCAAATCCAGAAAAAGCATTTGAGGAAATTCGACACTCATTCTAAGAAGCAATATAGAAAAGTGATTAAGACCTTGGGCTTTTAAGACACTTCTGGGTTCAAATTCTAATTCTGTTACTGAACTTGGACAGATTATTTAACATCACTTTACCTGTTTACCTGTTTACTCATGGTGAAAAAGGGTATATAACTTCAGAGATTTGTTATGAGCATATGATGAGTTAATCCATGTAAAGTGCTTAGAACAATGTCTGACACCTGGTATGTACTCAATAAATATTAGCTAATATTACTGTTTATGATAAACTAGAAATGGAAGGAAAGTTCCGTGGCCCGATTAAGTTATATACCAAACATTATTAGTGTAAACATTATTATTAAAGATGGACTATTTGAAGTATTTCCTTTAAAATAAAGAACAAGAAAAGGATGCCTACCATAACTATTTCTCTTTAATATTGTATTGGAATTCTAAACTACACAGAAAAAAAGCAAAAGAAATAAAAGGTATGTGGAAGGATGAAAAAATTATCATTAATCTCTAACAATATAAGTAGCTACAAAGAAATACAGGACACTCTTTAGTCAAATTATTAAAACTAATAGAGTGTCTAGCAAAGATGCTGAATACAAGATCGATCTTTTAAAAATTACATTCTTAAACATTATTTGAAAAGGTAGACGATGAAAAAATTTAAAGATATTATTTACAATAGCAACAAATTCTAGAACTCAACTTGCCAAAAAGATATGCAAAACCTTCATAGAAAAAGAATTACATTACTTTTTTTAAAGACTTTTTAAAAAGACCTAAATAGAAGTAGTCCATGTTAATGACTGAGAAGACTCAGTATCATAAGGATAGATTCTCCCCAGACTAAACTACAAACTCAAAGAATTTTCATAGGAATCCCAGCAGGCTTTTTGTGGAATTGAAAAAGCTTGTCCCAAAATTTATATGAAAGAACAAAAAGCCAAGAATAACTAAGGAAGAGAGACTTATTCTTCCAGATATCAAGATGTTATTTTAAAGCGGTAAGAATGAAGGCAGAGATCGGCTTCTGCCGGGACAACGCGAAAAGCCGCTGACCTGCTCCCCTTCCACAGCACTCACGCTTCTCACTCCTCAAACATTTTCCATGATAATTCTGTCTTATATCTCTTCTAACATCACCAAGAACTGACCATTCTAAACCCTAACCTACGACCCAGAAGTCGGCCACCTCTACAGCTGTGATGCTATCTGGGACAACCAGGCCTGAGTCAAACAACCACAGATAATCAGAGAGGGGAAAGAAGAAACTCGTCACAGTGATTGTGAGGCCTTCAGTGTAAAGTTCAGGGCTACCCTTTTTTCCTGATGCCTGGCTTCAAGAAGTGAGCTTTTTCTTTTACTCCAAAATATTTGCCATAAGGTCCAGAGTTCACTGCTCTGCCTAGGAAGACAGCCTCTGCCAGTGCACCTACGTGCTCTGCTAAATCCGTTCGTATTTCCCACCTCATCCCTTCTTGCATCTGCTCATTCAGACGTGTTTTAGTGCCTTTTCTGTGGCATTTGTTATGTTTTCCTTTCATTTCTCCACCCAGAAACTGTAGAAACAGCTAAACCTTACTGATTGTACCCTTAAGAATGTAGATAGTCACTCTGTCACCCCCAGTTAACCATTAGGGGTGAACGCCTTTATGGACTGGGTCCATTTAGGTTTGATGTACGTAAAATGCATTTCTAGATAGCAACTGGATAGGATTTTTCAAAAAATCTTTCCGACTTCAAAATAAACTGTATTATATCTTTATGTACTGATATGAAAAATGTCTCATAAGATACTAAGTGAAAGAATTAAGGTACAGAACTGTGTGTAGTGTGCTGCCCTAAGTACTTCTGTACATATTTGCTAGTAAATGCATAGAATATCTCTGGAAGGTACAGAAAGCTAATGTTGGTTGTCTACGGGAAGGACTTAGACAACTAGAGGAGCCAGAATACAAGCATAAGATAAAAAAATTTTTTCCCATAAACCTGATAATAACTTCTGTATTTGGACCCATATGCATATGTTACCTGTTTGAAAATTAAATTTAAATTATTTTAAATCTAGATATTATAAGCTCTATAAGTACTGTGGATATGACTTGCATTCTTAATTATATTTCATTCATTCAATGAATATTTATTGAGCGCCTGCTATTTGCCTGATAAACTATACCAAATGTCCTTTTCAAGGTAAAGGATGCCCCAGACTTTGGGTGTTCTTCACCTCCTACCCAATAAACAAAAACCCAGTAACCACAGTGGTAAGCGTAAGCTAACATTGGATCTAATCTGGGAAAACTGGGCTTGGGCTTCAATGCCAACAAACCCTGAAAACAATGCTTCTTGAGCCAGAAGTAATAAGGAGTTAGAACTGAGACCCTGCACGAAGCCAAGATTTTCAAAGGGCTATACTGCAGTTTAATAAAAAATATATATATTTTTTAATAAATTAGAAAATGTTGTCTCACTAGTATAAGGAAGGAAAACAAAAAAGCTTATCTGCCGCAGACCAGAATCTGAATGGAGAGTAAAGACCCCGCCCACCTCACTCAAGTTTGGGGTTTAAATTTATAGTCTCTGATTTTTTCAGAAATCCTCAAGTCAGGAAATTAACATAAGTGCAGGTCCTGAGGGACCTGGCAGAAGCAAATGCTAAACTTTTCTTGAGGGACACTCTCAACCAAGGCAGCACAA